CAACGACGCAGAATGTGATTATATCGAACCAAATTAGAAATATCGACGGAATGTTATATTTATACGGAGCACCGCCGCTAATACTCTTCTGTATAATTTCGATAGTCGTTAATATCAAGGTTCTGATAAGCGTATTCTGGATTAAGCGCCCACTTAGTCCAACATTATATATCAGTTTGAGTCTAACAGGTATAGTAATAATATATGTAGATATATACATGCAAGTACATATATGTATATACATGACTGATAGAAATGTGAAATACGTAAAAAATTAGCATTTTTGAGATAATGAAAGAAAATCAACCCTAAAATCTTTTGAAAAGAATTATGCCTAAAAATATTTTTTTAAAGGCGCAGATGCTTTTTCGAGTAGTGTTCTGGGAATAGGACTAATCTTGAATAGTTTCATACCCATTGGTCTCGGAATCAAATTGAAAGGTAAAATTCTATCATGAATCGTTTTTAATTAATTAAATATAGATCATTTTTATATAAACTTTAAACGTAATTCATTTTTATTCTAAAAATTTATTAAGTAACTAAATCTTAAAAATCAACATTTATCAAATAATAGAAAAAAACTGATTAAAAAATATAACTTTTAGAAATATTTATTTAATCATTTTTTCTTTTGATATAAAGAGTATCATAGAAATTTTATTTCTATTCGACTTTTTCAATATATTAAAAATCAATTGTTTTAGTAAAGCTCTAATGCGTGGTCTACAATGAGCAGTAGCAGTAGTTGATTAAGGAGTAGGCGTAGAAATCAACAAATCATAGTCGAATGTGAGGAGGACAATTAACTATCATTGGTCGATTTCTACGCCTATTCCTTAATCCACTACTGCTACTGCCCATTGTAGACCACGCATAAGATCACAAAGCACATACAAATAAATTTCGATTTTATAAATGTAAAAATTGATAATAAAGAGAGAAAGGGTTTACGAGTAAAGAAATTCGCTAAAACATTTAATTTTATTCTAATATATTACGAAGAATATTACGTTATTTTTGGCGTTTCGTCCCGGCTTCCACTACTGGACTCATCAGTAAGGCATTGTAGTGGAAGCCGGGACAAAACTTTTTTTCGGAGATTAGCGCAACAAGAAAATCATGTTGTTTACATTACTCAAATATGAAATAAAAAATGTGTTTCGATTGTCTTGTGGTAGTGAAAATGATATAATCTATGGAAAAAGGTATATAATCTTTTACCATAGATTGTATAAGTTTAATGAGACTTTTACCAGAGATTGAACAAAAGTGGTATAACAATATATGTTGACAATACATTTAATATTGTTGTATTTATTTAATATTGTACATTTAATATTTGTCATATAAATAAAAAAGTAGGAAGTTATTTTTATTTTTATAAAAATCAAGTTTTGTAAGCCTTTATTCTGCCTACCCCCTCGATTATTTTTTTTATATTTCGTATCCACGACAATTTTAACGCATATTTTCACCCGTAAATTAAAACATGTAGTGACACTACAATGCCTTACTGATGAGTCCAGTAGTGGAAGCCGGGACGATACGCCAAAAATAACGTAATATTCTTCGCAATATATTAGAATAAAATTAAATGTTTTAGCAAATTTCTTTGCTCGTAAACCCTTTCTCTCTTTATTATTAGTTTGAAAAATTTAACGAGCCTTCTCACTACATGTTGTAAAAATTGAATTTATTAATATAAAAAATATTCCATCACGTTGCTCTTAGGCATGAACTGTTTTTTATTGGCTCTCGAAGTTGTAAGATTGGGAGGTGTAATTATTACAGTATTTCATCTATTGGCATTAGCTGTTAATCACTATTTGGGCATTCTTAAACCCCTTCACTATCTTTCGATCCTAACATACAGGTAATTTAATTCCCTTCTTTGTCGAAAGAATCTCCATAAGCAGTATAACTAAATATACTTTCATTTTTCTTTTAAGAAATACCACGATTTTATTAATTCTGCTGTGGGTGTCACCTATTTCTTTCTTTGCCTTGTACTTTAATCTAATTGAGAACGATGGTTTTCAATCTGAAGAATGCAAAAATAACATGTAAGTGCAATTGTATCGATTATAATTGTCTAATTACCGTCAATAATCATTAGATGTCTTGATAATGAAAACATTAACATTTTTCTGAATTAAATGTTAAATAACGTTAAATAAAAAAAGTTTTGTTTTACGATAATATCTACGCTTTCGCGAAATTGTAATACAAATATGAAATTAGAAATGATATCATACGTTAAAATATTATTCATATATTTTATTCATCCATATATTATATATTTGAATATTCTACAAGTACGTTGAAAAGAATAAGTTAATTGATTGATATAATTAATTAATTTATCCTCGATTGACTAAATAAATGTCCCAACTTTCAGGTTTTTATATTACAAACAATTTCGAATGTTGTTTAGTAGCCTCTTTTTCGGGCCTTTCGCCTTGATGGTTTGCATTTATGTTCATATATTCTGCATAGTGAAGAAACATCAAGCAACGAGACTCCGCTTTTGCAGAGCGGGATCTTCCGTTCGTGCAAGAGCATCAGAAGCGTTACGCAACAATTCTAGACAAATGGCCCGTAACGTTAAAGCTATCCACACAACTTTATATATACTTGGTAAGAGAGAACAATAAAAAAATTACGGTTGTTAAAAAGAACAGAGATGCTAATAATTATATCGAGTTTTATAGCAACATTTAGATGCAATTTAAAAGATATATGTAATTTTTCTTTACGCACAATTTATATTTCATTATTCGCGTAATTTCTAAGGAAGCTTCGTAGTCGGATGGATGCCTGGAGTAATAATGTACATGCTGGTTTGTAACGACTGCGTATTGCAATTAAATGGGGTGTCGGCGCGTGTGATATTCTTCATCTACGCTACAATTAATGGTCTCATTATCCTGAAAACTTTGGTAAATCCCATTATTTACGCCGCCCGAATGCATGAGATCAAGGTAAATTAGTTTATTACACGATAGTTGCGGGATCAGTGTAATATCGTTAATTATAATTACTTTATTATCATCTCATCAAAACATCTTAATAATGAAAATACTAAAACTTTATCAAATTAATTTTGCATAAAATAAAATACAAATTAAAGCTTTGTGTTATGTATTACTTGTTTGCAAAATTACAATATGATTATGAAATTATGAATTCTCTTGCATCTTAATTATCTTATATGATTATCTTGAAAGTACATGTTTATATCAACGTTGTTTCTAATCGACTAGGAAGCATCAAATTCTTTTTTAAATTTAAAAATGTGAATCCTTGAAACAAAATTACATTAAAATTTTTATATTACATGTACTAAATATCTTTTTTAAGGAAAATTTGTGTACATTAAAACTTTTCCACACGAATAGAAATTTAAAAATGAGAAAACGCGCTTTTTCAGATCGCCACGAGACGAATGCACGACGCCTTCTGCGGACCAAAGCTCACTCATTTTACCATCAACCGAGGAATCAACAGAATGTACTATAGCAGCGAGGAGAGTAGACACTCGCAATCAAGGACTAGTCGACTATTTTATAATATGAGCGTTCGAAAAACACGAAACGGAAGCACGTACACATGTACGGGTTACAATATGCATAAATACGGCAATACATCCGTGTAGAACACGCAACGTGATATGGAAAACGAGGTGCGAAAATATTTTTTCGCGTACACTTTATCGTCGCAGAATCGTGTAAATACAAGGTAAACGAGCGATGATAGTGACTGCAACAATATTTTAATAGTATAAAAGTCGTATTCTTTCTCTCTTCCTCTCTCTTTCTCTTTCTCTCTCTCTCTCTCTCCCCCCCCCCCCCCCTCTCTTCCTCTTCTATCTATTTTAATGTGGTTGTATAAAATAGCTCTTTTCCAAATTCATATGTTATTGTAGCTCCATTTTTAACATTTGTGCAAATTTTTGCAAAAATTAAACGTGTTTCATGATAGATATGACTTGGAGATAACATCTCTTCCTATAATTTGCTAACATGTTTATTTGTACATTTGTAATCAAATTTATTTTTAACATTCTAAGTATATTTTACTCATGAACAATTTTATCTCATGACATTTCTTTCTTAATTACATATTGTATTGATAGTATCTGCATTTCTTTCTTATTTAAAATCGATAAAGAAAAAAAAAGTTTAAATATATAAATATAAAGAAAAAGAATATAATTTAAAAAAGAATATATTGTCGCAAAGTTGTCCTTAATTTAATCCTCAATCTATAATTTCTAAAAGAATCTCACAAGCAATATCATGAAAGAGTCTGATCTTGATAAGCCTTTAACATATTGTCTAAATCAAAATAAAAGGCATATTTATATGTACCCGCCTTCATTTTTAAAAGATAAAATGTCCTTTGAAAAACACTTAAAAGCGAAAACGGGAATGTAGAAAAAAGACGTGTTTCTTATTTTGGTCCAAACAAGTAAAGTTTTTCAAAATCTGAGGATAATACTTTCATGATGTTTTTTATCAGTATATTCCCTCAATGTTTATATTTTTAAATGCTTATCTAAAAATAGAAAAATGAAATAAAACTTAAATTTCATTTTTCTATTTTTAGATAAGCATTTAAAAATATAAACATTGAGGGAATATACTGATAAAAAACATCATGAAAGTATTATCCTCAGATTTTGAAAAACTTTACTTGTCTGGACCAAAATAAGAAACACGTCTTTTTTCTACATTCCCGTTTTCGCTTTTAATTGTTTTTCAAAGGATATTTTATCCTTTAAAAATGAAGGCGGGTACATATAAATATGTCTTTTATTTTGATATTTAGGATTAATAACCAGAAAATGATTTTTCTTAAAATAAATATTTCTAAAAAAATGGACGGAATATTTAAGTTAAATTATGCACATATATTTACCCGAAATATTGATATATATATCGGATTTCTGCGCTATTATAAGAAATACATTAATTTCTGTCGTGTATATAACTTACCTACCATCCACAGCATCTATAATTTCCGCTTCAATGCCGAGTTCTTGGAAAAGTCTCTGCATCCTTCTACGTCTCTCTGGTCTTCTTAACAGATTTATCATATAAATATGATCCAGACCTAGAGTGTCTTTCTCCGGATATATCACGAATTCTTTTAAATCATCCAACAATGGCAAATAATCGCTAAATGCTGTACAAAATGCAATCTACATCAATTAACATTGTCAACAAAATAATATTATATTGTAATATATTCCTATAATTGCATATATTACATCAATTTATTTTTGTTCATTCACAAGTACTTATTTATTTTATTTATTTACATTATGCTCTTCTCTCACAGAAGTAAACTTACCTAACATTTCCACCTTAGTATTAGTCAACCGTTGCATATCTTCTGCGATAGTCTCATCATTCTCCAAAGGCACCATAACAAAACCATAAACATCGTCGTTACACACGAACAATGATACATCTATGACATAAAGACTATATGTTGTATGTATTTAAAAACTTCTAATAGGCAAAATCAAATCTCTCTAATTCCTTATAGAATTAAAAGTTAAGTCAAAATAGTAAGAGCAGAAATATAGGCCAACAATTTTGAAGAATCAGCACTTAAGTAATTAGTACAAATCTCATACTGTTATTCATGATTCATATTTTAACTTTTAAATGACAATAACTTTAATATATGTAGACCATAATAATTTTAATATTTACCTGATTTATTTGCTCCTATGGCAAAAGTTATGATATCGTCCACTGGTCCATCATAACCGACCAATTTTTCGGCTTTATAGGTGAGATAATCGGAGTAGCGTCTTCTCAGATCTATGAGTACCGCACTATGAATCATAGGCACGTTGTGGCAACCAATTTTTTCGCGAAATAGGATCGGTTCGTAGAGTTCCGTTCGCAAATAATAATGTTCCGCCGTCATTCCGGCCCAAAAATTGCTATACATGCCGTCCGACCTCAATAAAGGCGCAACAACAGTGTGTCCCTTATCTATCAAATTACGAATAGTGCTTGGATTGGTCAAAAAAACGTCGGCATCCAGCATCTGCACATATAAGAAGTTTTTCTTTTCTTTCATTTTTGTTCTTTTTTCTCAGTCTGTAAAAATGTCCGCACATGTATCAGACGATTGAAAAAGTGACGCGTTTCCCTATAATAAGTACATACTGCTACTTTAATTTTTTTATTATAATATTAATTTTTTCGGAACTTGTCTGAAATCATTCACTGATAAATACTGTCTTAGATCCTTAATACAATTTTAAACTTCTTTATTACACCATGCATGGTATAATTTCAAACAGAAAATAGTTTCTGAATTCAAATTATCTTCAAAATTTAATTTTGACTATTAATTCAACTGTCAAAATTACTTGAAGTAAAATTATTAATTATAATTTAATTTAAACAGGCATATATATAATAAATTATAATAAAAATTTTGTTCCAAATGATTTTTTGCTAGTTGAATTAATAGACAAAATTAAATTAATCAAGGTAGCTGCAAGATAACAAAATAAAGTTAGCTCACCAAAATAAAATCTGCCCATATTTCTTTCGCATAATCAAGCGCTCGTTCACGCAAACCTATTATATGCGCAAATCTGCGAGGTGACCAATCGACGATCGATCTCTCGTCTTCGAAACCTGTCGACGATGCATTCAAGTGAACATTCATCGAATGATACATCTTCCTCCTCGAACTGATCCATTTGTTCAAAATCTCGATCGAATTGTCAACATTGTTATCGCTGCGTATCCTGAAATGATTAACATAAAATTTTCGCATTCTCTATATACATTATATTTTTCGTAGAAACAATATTTATAAAAAGTAAGTTAAGCCAAGATGAAAGTTAATCTATTATATATTAGTTGGAATAAATATTAACTCTGTTGTTATACACACTTTTTTTATACTCTTGATATAACATTCGGGTCCCAGAGACTTAATTCATTTATATTTGTCATCTAACTTCCGTGAAAATAATAGACATACCTTAATTAATTTTTTTCCAATTGATGGACAAATGATTAAGGAACAAGTCTATAATGTGTAAAAGATAAAAAGAGCTTCGAGTATGTAGGTTCAAAGAAAAAAAATTCAAAAACGCGAAAAAATTTCAATTTAGCAAATTGCATTATAGAGTTTCTGAGATCCTAGTGTGTATTAGGCTAGCTAGGGTTAACAAATATAATAAACGTAAATATAAAAGTAGATAAATCTCCGAAAACCTACAGCGTGATAAACAAGTTTGCGAAAATTTCCTGAAACTGCAGACGCAGTACAAGCATCCAATCACATCCGGTTTTATATTCGCGCGTTTGCAAACGATGCGTTTCCGCACACGCCGCACTGATTGGCGGGCAACTTCAAATTTACAAATAAATTTAAAACCGCGATAGAAGGAATAAAAATGACAATCAATGGAAACGATTGTTTCGAGATATTTTTAATTAATTTTCCCGTATTCGCTCATATAATTCAGGAGGTTTAATTTTAGTTGACGATCATAATATAAAACATTAATTCTTAATAAATAATGGAAGTGAATTCTTGTGTTATTTTAACATTTCAATTGGAAAACGCTGTCCGATGTTTTAACTCTAAATTAAAATCGATATACACCTACGAACGTTATGTTGACGAATTTAAATATTTTCGCGAGTTTTACGATATATCGTAGCTGAGCAAGAGAGTGAGGTTATGTCTCGTCACTCACCAAAAACTTATTCGCTTCTTTGGGTAATCTTGGTGCTCCAATAAACTGAGAAAATATGGCAACGTGTGTGCCTTATTTCTAACAAGGACTCCAATTAGCACAGTCGGTTCTTTTAAGATTGTATCGCACGTAACCAACCATGTGAAACCAATGAGAGAATAAATAATTAGATATCCTCGAAGGATTATCGCGATATTTGTATAAAATTGGTACATTTTAATCACGCACGTGTTTTTTCGTGATCGTCTAGAAAATCTAGATAGACGAACGTGGAAATTATGCGAAGAAACAACCCTTCTGATGACATGATCTTTCTATCTCATCATTCCTCATTCTTTGCCTATTATCACAAGTACGTAGGCGTGCGCGATCGATAAAACAGGAAATTATGCGCAATGTTCATCTGCACTGCGTTAATATTTATTACTGCAAATATATACTAAAAATCTATAATATAATGCAAACTATATAGATTTTCAGTACTTAATAGAATTTAATAGAATACATCCAGTACAATCTTATCTTATATTTTTTATTCATTTTTTTTTTAAATAAATATATAAAATATTATATCTCTCTCTCTGAATCCCCTGTTTTTTTCTCTGTTTTTTCTTTATCTCTTCTTCCTTCCCAACTCCCTTCAAGTTTGTACAAAAAAATTAGTAACACTGAATTGTATAAACAAATTTGTACTTTACTATTATAAAATATACATTGATTGGCACATCATTTTCCAGTGTACTTTGGTCATATTTTTATTAGAATTTAATTTAACTTTTTACCGAAGAAATATCTTCTTTGGTTTCTTTTATTTCTTTTGCTTCTTTTACATCTTTTGTTTTATTGACTTCTTCCGATTTTACCTTTTTCTTGTATGCATAACTAAGTTTGGCTTTGTCAAATTCTAGAAGCATTATACCCAAATCTCCACTGTATCTATTCTTTGCAACCTAAATAACAACATAAAATAACTTATAATGTGTTGAAGATTAAAAAATATTATATCATCCAATAATTATAGATATGTACATACTTGTAAATATTTCTTTCCTTTTATACTAGTAAGTCTTTTATCTTGTATAATCAATATATTATCAGCTTCTTGACTCGCTTTGGCACTGCCAAAAATAGACAAAGCTGTCAATTCTTCATCTCGTTCTTTTCTTGGATGTATAACCAAAGTAACATGACAATTATATTTTGTAGCAAAATTTCTGAACTGTGCAATAATCTTGTCTTGTTTCCAAAATCTACGATACAACACTGTATTAAAAATCAATTTTTCAAAGAGAGATAAATCATTCGTCTCACCTATCGGTTATTTCTTCTGACATGCCCATCATGAATTGCATATTGTCAATTATTACATGAGCTATATCATGTACATATGTTGCATGCATAACTGCCTGAAATAAAAAGCGAGAAGTTATATACAACGCCAAGTTTTTCACTTATAGATAATGTCTTTATAGATAATGTCATACATCCATAACAACTTTGATATTCTGCTGACCATGGAAAGTCATAAAGTATATTGGTAATTTGTTAAAAGCATTTGCATATGTATCGAATTGATCCAAATTGTCTTCCAAAGATACTTCCGCCATTTGCTGCAACATAGTTCTAGCTAGCCGAGCATTTCTGATTTCGAAACTACCCCATAGTGTATTTACACCTTGCATTGCTAAATCTAGTGAATATTCGCTCATAAATGTAGTTTTGCCACTGCCTAAAAGTCCATTCATATGTGTAAAGAATGTAATTTTATAAGCAGCACATCTGATGCGAATGATTTAGTTATCTTTTTAATAGTTAACTGATCTATCTTACCAGTTGGGCCAGTTAATATTGTAAATTCTCCTCTTCTGTGTCCTTTTAAAATTCGATTTAAAGCAGGGTATCTTTTCCATTTTACACCTTGGACTCTATCTATATTTTGCAAATCACATAATACATCTTGTCTGAGGTCATCAAAAATAGTAATACTTTTATGCCAGATCGGTTGTGCATTTGCTAAAATATGTTTAAGATCACAGTCTGTGTCAACAGCTAATTTTGGTCTAGGTTGCGTGTCAATTGGTCTCACAAAGTAACATCTCTTCTCATTTAATTTCTTAGCAAATTGTCTGGCTGTATACCAGCTAGGTTCGTCATTTCCAAACCATAAAATTAATTTTTTAAAATTTTCAAAATTTGGCAACAACTGCTGTGGTAAGTGTTGCAAATTATACGGCAAGCAGATAATCATGTTTGCTGCCTTTCGAGATGCTAATGCTAATAAATCGTGTATTGTTGGCACAACCACTGCAGTCGTATCACTTTTACTACCTTTTTGCTTATAAAGAATAAATCCACTAACATTGGAAATAGGTACAGTTTGTTCTAATTCTGATTTACAAGAAAGAGTTTTATAACCCACAACAGTACCGAAAGAAATTAATGGAAAATATAATAATGCTGGTACAGCTGCATATACACCATTTAATTGTAAAATGTCTTCTCGTGAAATTCTCTGTAATCATTTTCATTAATGTGTAATATTGCATATAATATTATATATAAACACTGAATTTATGTTAAGTTAAATATATCTTACTGGAAGAGAGAATATATTCAGAACTTTTTCATATAACTCTGACGACAAATCTGCAAGTTTCTGATTGGATTTTATTATGTTGTTCCATTTTGTAGCATAATCTTCTTGAACTTTTGTAGCATTTATTAAAGTTTCCAATTCTTTTTGTATATTATTTGCTTTGGTTGATTTTGTTAGTAAAAATTTCTCTAATATATTCCATTCTCCTTTAGAACTGCATTTATCACATAAAAAATATCCTGCAATAAACAAATATATAATTGTATAAGATAAAGTTATTTTGTCAATCTCTTTGTATTACCTTCTATCAAATGTCTTCTATATATTTTATTACTTTGTATCTTTCTTTACCTGTTGTTTTATTAATATAAATATATGCCTTTTTAGATTTTTCATAATCACATATAGGACACTCAGCAACTATACATGCATGTCCATCAATAGCATTAATATGCTTTTGCTTCAGTACTTGTCTTATGTGAAATAATGATATCCCAGGTACTGGATCATTTATAATGCTACTATCATTAGAATACAAACGACGATAAAACATCAAAAACTTATCATGTCTTTTTGAATTTAAAACACGCACCAATAATTTCAAAGACATTCTCCTTGTCTAATTAGAGTATCATCAACATTGAAGTCATAGGTCTGATAGCAATAAAATCATTTTAATCAGTAATGAAAGCTGATATTTCATCAATAAGACTATAAAGAATTTGATCTGTATAAATTACTTACATTTTATCTGTATTATAATCAATGTGGGCTGCTTTCCTTCAGAAAATACAGTCGATATAAATGTCGTTCTATATTTTTCTTTCCATAAATATTACAGATAGAACACTCGTGTCAAATTGTTTCCTGTAAAAAAAAAAAACAGTTATCATTTAGTTCATAAACACTAGTACTATATAATTCATTATCCAAAATATTTTTAGTAAACAATTACAAACTTTTCTTAGGAGCATACCTATTGTTTACATTGTTCAAGTATAAATTACATTTGAGGCAAACAATAACTTGATACAATTTTTAATAAATGTTTAAAACTTATAACGCTCTACTCCAATTTTCCTGTAATTTTGTAAATTTGCATATAAAATATATTCAATTGAAGAAAAATCGTTACCAAAATCCTGCTTTTTTATTTAAAAGTTTTTTATGTTTATAGATATAAATGAAGTATACATTTTGAAATACAAAAAAATTGCTATAATTTAAATTATATAAGAAAATAATTTGTGTTTTTAATTAATTAAAGCAAAGAATGAATAGAGAATTATCATTTTTAGAAAATTAATATTTTTTAACTTAACTAAAAAAAACTTTGGAATTAACGAAACAAAAGCATCACTTGAACGATTTTTCTTTTTAGAATATAATCTACATTCTACGCAATACCAATTTACATAATAACAAGAAAATTAAAAGAGAAAATGTTGTATTAAACATTTATCCGATTGTTAAAAATCGTATCATTATTGACGTCTTAGGACGTTTCAGAATGAATGATCTTTACATTTGTTTTATTGATATTGATATTGTCGATCCACAACAATGAAAAGCCGGTGTATAGAGCACGTGAGTACGAAATGCAATAAAATCAGCGGAGCGACACATGATCACGATGGCTATATTCAACCAGAGAGAAACCTAAAGCCGTAATCACACTACAGGTTCCCGACTCTGAACTTCTGAGCCCATGGCAGATAGAAAAACGTAAAGCCGTAAACGTAATCAGTAAGCGAATTGACCAATCACAGTTGAGAACATAAGCAGCCGTCGCTACGTTCTCAACTTGATTGGTCAATTCGCTTAGGGTTGGATTATACTGGCCGTAATCTGTAAAAATTGACCAATCATAGTCGAATGAGAGGGGAATAAACGATTATAATTGGTCAATTTTTACAGATTACGGCCAGTATAATCCAACCCTTAGAAATAAAAAATAAGAAATTTTAGCCTATCAGAAACTATGTATACCAATGCATCCGATTTCTGATAGGTTAAGATTTCTTATTCCTTTTCTCTTCTCCTGGAAAGAAAAGAAAGAAAAATGAACTGGTGCAAAAGTTCAGTCAAAAAGAACAGACCTTATGGCATTTTGCCGCGCGGCAAGCGTTTCCACGTCCAGTGTGCTGGAGTCATTACGCCGGCTTTTCATGCTGACGCTCGACGCTCATTTTCAGCGTCAAAACAGATCACGTGATAAAAATTGACGAATAGCAAGCAAATATGACACTCGAGCGTCAGCATGAAAAGGCACCACGAGTACGATACTGACGCTGCGTTCGATGCGCATGCGCTGGAAACGCGGTCCGTCCCGCGTCCGGCGTCCGGCATCACTGGCTGGAATTGATTTTATTATATAGTAGAACGTAACCTTTTGCGTGTTGTGCACGTGTAATTTTATTTATTGTTTACTCTGTGCCGCTCATTCAGTATCGAATCGCCGGTACGTACAAAGTAAAACTATTATTAAGCCAATATTTCTGGTTACTTATCAACTATTATTTAATTCAGTGTTGTTTAAATTACGTTACCATTTTTCTGTTCATGTGTGATGTTTATAGATCATTTAATATAATATAATATAAAAGGAGATTAAGTCATATTTATTACATTAATTATCCGGAAATATTTCAGAAAAAAGTACATTCTTTAATTATACATACAATGACAAATCAGCGATTTTCTTGCGGATTAGATTTGTGCTGTGCTGTAAATTTACATGATTGTATAACTTATGCAGCTGAATCAAGGCAAGTTATTATATGTTCTATGTGTTTAAATATCATGTTCTTTAAGTGTTTTTATTTATTATTGTACATGCTGTTCTTATTCTTATATATGATTTTAGGTATGAATTTATTTGCGTCCCTTTGGTGCATCCTTTATTTAAAAGAGAATTTATTTCTGGACCTGCCAAAAATCGTCCAGGACCACTTACTAGGCCTGATTTAGTTTTAAGCAGTGCAGGTATAAATTAAATATGTGTTTATAAATAAAATATATATATATATATATTTATTAATTATATCAGTGACCTAGTTTCCACCAAAATCTTCAATTCGGTTCCACTACGGTATAGATCAAACTTGGTGTACTGTTTCCATTGGAAGTAGAATTGAAGTAAATTAATGTGAAAGTTTCATTGTATGACCAAATATCACGCTTATTATCCATTTTTGAACGGCTTATACTTTTAACCTTTTAACAAATAATGGAAAGGTTGGCGATATTTACTTTTAATCTATTTCAGTCGTTTTCACCAACTAAAATTTAATGTTAATTCGCTGCCACTCTGGTAGAAGTTGTGGATCAAAGTGGAAGTGAAATGAGCAGAGTCAAATGTATTTCCATTGAGTTAAATTTGGTTCTACGCCGCATTAGGTGCGAATTAATGCTTCGGTGGAAACTAGACCAGTGATCAGCATCAATCCATAGACAACTTTCAGTTATTTTTATGTTGATATCTTTTATCTTTGCCACTTTGTTCCTGGAGCAATGATATTATATGATAGAATTATACCTTTTATTGTCATGAAATTTTTTTGGTATAACCACTCTTCAGATAAAGCATCACATGTTTTATTGTTAGTTATTTTTCAAGATATGAATGGCAAGCAAAAGATAATGGGTATATATATTGACATAAAAATCTGACCAAAAGTTATATCTAATGCTGATCAATGAGTTATATTAATACTTTTAATAAATGAATTAGGAGAGTTTTACCTTTGCCAGCTAAAATGATCTTAAATTAGGTCATTTTCATCAATTTTTTAAAGGAAATCTATTATATACAGAAAACATAAGTTTTTATATGAGATTATGTAATGTTTACAGCAAAAAAAAAAAATATTTTAATTAGATAAAGATGCTTTCTAATGCTTCTAAATAATGATCAAGTTAGAAGTCATTTGTAAAATGTATTTCCATGATAGAAGTAATGCAGCCTCTAAATTATTATAAGAACTGCTGCACTGGTAAGCGTTTTGAGACACTCTTATATATTTGAGCTCGTGGCTCTGTTAATATTATGAATTTTAATAATTTATTTTACAGCAATATTTCACACTATATAGGAACAAAAATAAGCAAAAAGAAAACACAATTTTTTTACTTGCCAAGGTGAAACCCTCCTTAATGAAATTAAATTCAAACGGAACCTTATAATATTACTTTGCAGATTGGAATAATAGAATAATTGGGAAGTTTTCACCACTTGTCAATGTTGATTCGACCAATCCAGTTATTAGAAAAAATAGCGAAGAATCTTTGAATCAGGAATTAAGTTTAGCTAGCCATTTTGGTTTGTCAACGGTGATGTTTAAATTAAAATATGGGATAAACAAAAATATCAATCTTGCAAGAATAATTTCTGATAAAATGGCAAACAACAATCTTCAGGTAACATAATTATATACATACTTGCATACATATATAATTTATATAATTTCGTATATTGACTAAATTTAATAATTATTAGTTTTTATCAAATCGAAATGTTACATATCAAGAAGCAAACAAAAGGCGTTAATTCCTAAAAAGATACAAAAGGTCTAAATAATTAATACAATTATTTATTAAAATTAGATCAAAACAACATAAATAAATCTTTAACCTTACTAATTTTGCAATTCTCGCACTGATCTTATTTGAATCTGTACTTTCAAGCGAATAAGATATTTTGTGGCGAGTGTATATTGTATTTTGCTTGATTTTGAGATATTTTTTATTTGACCATGAAGAATGTATGACTATATCCAAAACAATGAGCCAAAATTTATTATCACATGCAGGGGTTGACAGAGAGCATTTCAGTATGTACAACTTCATCATCATTTGTGTTGAAACATTATAATTTTAATTTGACATATTTTTAATGTTACAATTATTCGAATTGTTAAAATTACGTTTACTGGTTTCTTTTATACACATAAGCTAAAAAAGAACCCGTGGTTCCAAACATTCATTATATGATATACACCTCAAGAATTAAAATTTAATCCTTTAACTCACTGATCTACATGTTACATGAAATTATTAAGACATTCTATTAATTATTATAGGTATGGGTAGAAGTTCCTATGGAAAATCCAATTAGACAAACCTATTCTTATAGAACAGAAGATTATCCAGAAGACGAGAATCCATGGGAATGGTGGAATTCTTTTAGAGCAATATGTGATTATAATAGAAAATTAGGAATTGCATTAATTGTCAGTCATGACTTGCCTGAAGAAGAAGAGGTAGCTTAGAAATTAAATTTAGAAATTAAAATTATGCAATATGAATATGCGATGTTTTTAAATCAATTTAAATTTAAAAGATTGAAAGGTGGCTCGGAGAACCAGTCAGATGTTTAATTTTACCGACGACGTTATTTCTAACTAATAAAAAGGGATATCCAGTACTAAGTAAAGCACATCAAGCATTAGTAAAAAAATTTGCTGTACTAGAAATGCAATTTATTGTAACAGGCGCATCACGTTATCAAAGTATTAGTTATTATCACAACTATCTTGATTATCTATGGAGGGTAAAATATTAATGAAGTTTTTTTGAAGATTAATACATTATTTGGTATAGAATTTAAAAAATAACAATATCATTTTTTGAGGGATGCCAGAATGATGGAACAGTGGAGAAATTTGCTCGAGGATTTGAGGACTATCTACAATGCCCATTACAGCCTTTAATGGATAATCTCGAATCACAAACTTATGAAGTATTTGAGAAAGATCCCGTAAAGTATCGAGAATATCAGAGTGCTATATACGAAGCTATTAACGCAATAACACACAAAATGCAAGAAGAAAGAATGATGTAAATCGAATCATATTAATTAATAAAGATAATATCTGTGAGAAAAGAATGTGTAACAAGATTATAAATTTTTAGAGTCATTATGGTAGTTGGTGCTGGTAGAGGACCGCTTGTAACTGCATCTCTAAATGCTGCAAAAATGGCATATAAGGAAGTGAAGGTATATGCAGTGGAGAAGAATCCCAATGCCGTAATAACGTGAGATCATTTTAAAATAATAATTATATTGGGTTGGATAAACAATTTTTGCTTTTTAAAATATATTTTTTTATATTTAATTAAATAACATTAAGGCCGGTATTCATAAGTCAGTTAGTCAGTTCTTATTTGAAGACTGTCTTAAGTAATGTTTTAAGATGCTAAAGCGGCCCTCTGATTGGTTCGTAACTCTTCAAGACTGAACTTAAGACGGTCTTGAATATAAGAACTAACTATGAATACCAACCTAAATGTATATATAATATAATTAGATATTTGATAAGAAAAATAATAAAACCATCTAAAAGTGGCAAAGATAATTAAAAAGGAGAAGAATAAATATCTTGTTTAATAAAAAATCCATGCTATATCCTCTTATTTTTATTTATTAATTTTAAAATTAATTAAAAGACTTATCCGATAATTTCATCTTTTAAATAATCATGAATTACATGTGTTCACTATTTCATTTATGATATATTTACAGTTTACAAGCCCTTCAAAGAGATATGTGGAAAGAAAAAGTTACAGTGGTATCATGCGATATGAGAGAATGGAATCCTCCGGAAAAAGCTGACATAATTGTGTCCGAATTACTCGGATCTTTTGGCGATAATGAATTGTCTCCAGAATGTCTAGATAATGTTGTTAAGTTTTTAAGAGGTTTGTATTGCACGTGTCATATTATATAAATAGTATTAATCTTTTTTTATAACTTCTTGTTTGAAATTTTTATTAGATGACGGAATTAACATACCACAATCATACACTTCGTACATAGCTCCTATGCAATCTTCTAAATTGTACAATGAAGTGAGACAACTTCGAGATAAGGATAAACATCCGTTATCTCATTTTGAAACTTTATACGTGGTACATCTTCAAAATAAATACGATATAGCAAACCCGAAATCACTTTTTACATTTAATCATCCAAATATAGGTTTGTATAAAGCATCCAACTTTTTATATTTTAATATTATCTTATTTTAATTTCTTTACGTGTTTGTATTTTTTAGACGCTGTTACCGACAATTCGAGATATGAAACCAAAACTTTTGAAGTGGAACAGAATTGTGTATTACACGGGTTTTCAGGATACTTTACAGCAATTTTATATGGAAATATCACATTAAGCATAGAACCTAGCACATATAGCTCAGATATGTTTAGTTGGTTCCCAATCTTTTTTCCACTTAAGGTATACTTAAAATAGCTTTTATTTTTTTCAAAATATACTTGCAAAATATAAGTTTGGTGGTGGATAAAAAAATATTTATCGATACACAGGAACCAATATATTTAAAGGCAGGAGATCAAATAGTGGTCCATTTCTGGCGCAGATGTAATTCTAAGAAAGTATGGTATGAATGGTGTCTCAGTAAACCCATCCCAGTTGCAATCCACAATACAACTGGACGTTCTTCCATTATCGGATTATAACGTAACGATTATTTCTTGTTCATTTAACAACGTTTCAATATATGGTAACAACGTTACCATATATATCAGATTATTAAATATCAACTATTAGATTTGTAGTTACATTTTTTGACGAATCTGAACAGTATTACGTATTTGAATATTTTAGCATTTTTGTATTAATTTTATTTCAGATTCATTAAATTGCGCTTTGTATATCGATATAAACTAGTATAATTAGATCTTAATATAAATTTGATATAATATAGAAGCCGAGATACTATCGTGTCTGCAGATATGAATTTTTCTATTTACATTTGAATCATAGCAAATATTTCTGAGATAAATATTTATTTGAAACTTAAAAATTTATAAAGGGTTGGCAAAGACTAATGTTTTTTTTTTTTTTCAAGAATAAAAATTATTTATAATGTTTAAAACATGTTTTTTTTCAACTCTGATTCAAAATAAATATTTATTTCAAAAGTTTTTCAAATGTTAATTTCACTTACATTTCAAAGGATATTGTATATTCAAATACAGATATATTTTTTGTCCAATATATATTTAGTATCAGGTAATAGTTTTTGACAGTTCAAATGATAAAAAATAGAAGAAAGTGCATTTTTATGTATATAAAAGATATGATATGTGAATATTTTGTTCATTGCAAACGATTTTTTATGTACTATAACTACAAATCTTAATACAACGCTGATGTCTGAGGTCACCGATATTCATTGAGGTCACTGATATATGGTAGAATTATGATAACATGTATTACAAAATGTTCTTAAAGCGTGTTATTATTACTGTCTTCTTAAACTCACGTGTTTCGAAAAACATTGTCTAAATTCTACGTATTGTAAGATTGATTCAAACACATTCATATAACAATAATCTTCAAAATAAGTATATAATATAAAGTTTTATAAAATTCCAAAGACTTAAATATTTCATGTAATTCCTAATATATTTACACGTTATAATGAATTTTTATTTATTGACGAACATGTCAGATCTTTTATATAAATACTTAAAAGTTATATAGAAATTATAATTCTATCGAGAAAGCATTATTATATGTATATGTAAATCAAGCCGTTTCACTCCATTTTGGGAGAATTTTTATCTCGTTTCTGACAATTTCAGATAGTAATAGTGGTGAATAAACAGGAGTCTTAAAAATGTGAAAAATATTCTCGCGTATTTTTTTTATTTTGGCAATATAACTACAATAATTAGATCTTTCTAAACAATAAAATAATAAAAGTATTTACCATGGATTGAAAAAGTCCATTTACTTTTAGTATACCTTACATATATCTCTGTTAATTAATTTTTCAAACATATTTAATATTTTTCTCAAGCTTTCAAAATTCAGTTCGTGGTATAATTTGTGGACCTGTTTTTTTATGTCGTAGCAAATGAGCGAAAATATACCCCAAAATCAAAAAAATTACGCCAAAATTTATTTTTATTTTAGAGATATCCAGAATGGTAATGCTTATAAATAATGAAAAAGAATTATATAACAATTATATGATTTTTGATCATTATGTAATGAAATAAAAGCTATTTTAATATCGTTTAAATGTAATTATACAAGATAAAATCAATTGATTTCTTTTTATTTTTTTAATGTAAGAACATCTAGAATAATGTAGTTTAATTAATATATGAAATTGTCTTTAAATGTTTAATCATGTGTAATCAGAGCAGATCATACAACATTAAAATTGAATCTGTTTAATTTACTGTATATCATTCCTTTTTATTTCCTTATAATTTTCAACGACTTATAAAGTCTGGAGATATCATTCTTATATATTCAATAAGTTACATTTACACGACATTCGACGATTCTGTCTGATAACAGAAATATGAAACTAAGAAAACTAACTCGTGGTTGCTCAAGATTAAAGGTCACATGCTATTTGTGTTGCAATTGTACTCGCAATTCACAAGTCATTTATATATTTCGAATAGAGAGAGAAAAACAGGCTAAGATTAAGAAAAGATTCGTTTTTGATATTTCTGGCGAGATTTGAATGAATTATCCTATATCTGTGTTTGTTATGTTGGCTCTCGTTTGAATATTTAATTATAATTTTAATTGAATTAAATTTTCGAGGTGAAATAAGAGAGGGTCCGATAATGATGGAAAAGTGCTGAAATCTTGTCTTTCATTATTCGACCGAGAATCATCAATCAGCTCCGTTTTGCTCCCGCTGCCGGTTACATTCGCGTGTGAGCATCTCCAGAAAGTGAAAAGAAGAGGTTAGAACGGCTCGTGCACGGTTCCGCACGGCGATCGCGACGACAAAGGAAAAATGGCAAGATTGATCGTCCAGATTAGTAGACGTGCGGTAAAAACCGTCTCGCACAATTTGTTCAATACATCTGCGAAGTCGAGGATACCCTTTGCCATAATGCGGTCCATAACCACGACTCAGTACTTGAGAGATGGTAAGAGAGGATGATGAGCGACTTAGTTTTTTTTTTTTAAAAGAGCGTCAATATATGTATTTGCTAGAACTATTTGTAATACGAAGAAACGATTTTACCGCTGAGTACCGTCTATTATTGTTATTGATTAATAATCAATGCTCGTGAGGAATTCATTCGGTTCATGGAATACATACACACGCGTGCGTATGCATACTGAGTGAATTGTGTGTGTACGTTGATACACGTTCGCATTATATATGTTATAAACTTGTTACTTGATATTACATAAAATATAAAAAAATATTGTAGATATTTATTTGTGCGCGCGCGCGCGCATCAGATGTATGATATATACCATATATATCTATATATATAATTTTATATATAATATATAATATATAACAACACGAGGAAATATTTGTTGTAAAAAACATTTCACACTTGTGTTAAAACCAGTCTTTGTTAAATGTATTGTATTATATTAAATTGACAATTAACATTTCGTAGTGTTAAAATAACACAATTTATGAGTAACAAAAATAATGTAATTTTAAAAAACATAAATTCTGGTAATTTAACATATTTAAATTTAACATATTCTAAATCTGCGTGTGTGTGTGTGTGCATATTACTGAAGAAATATATTTCCATAATTCGCTTCCAAATTATATATTAGATGTTACATTTTTGTGTTAATTTTTGCATAATATTTGATTATTTTCTAACATATTTACTTGTATTAAATTAGCATAAAGTTTGGATGAACCAAGTAGAATACATGAAGTACGAATATGTTAAATTTAATACAATTTTTTCAACTGTGAACGATTAACTACTGGAGCTAACATCACAAGCAGTTCCCAGATAGCAAGGCGTGTCTCAGCAAAATCGCGCAAACCTATGATCGATTATGATGCTATCAACTTGCTGTATATTTGTCTTCAATGATTTTAAGTATATCAATATTACAGCAACAATGTGTTGCCAGCAGTTTTACGACAAGATATAGCAGCATCAAAGTTACTTCGCTTTGTTCGCAACATGACAGCATTGCGTGATCCTACAAATAATTATGGCAACACAACAGCAACAGTTGCTGGTAAGTTGCCGGCAAGTTGCTATCTGAAAAGTTGTTGCATCGTGAAGACATCAAATTGCCAGCAAATGAGGACTCAGTTGCTACAATTCTAATAGCAATATATGCTATGATTAGCGATATGCCGGTAACAAGACAGACACATTGCTATCTGGGGTTCCTGATATTACTAGATAATCTCACGAGACTCATTTAATATACATTGACTGAACCTTAATTAATTTCAGAAAGCCAAAATGATATACTTGAATAAAAGAATAGACGTGAATATTAAGCTTATTTTAATAAGAGTAATCTCCAAATTTACAGATGTAACATAAAGAAAATAATATTAAATGGATCCAATAAGTCCACCGTCACAGTTCATTTGACTGGTAGAATTGTTTTTAATTTCACTGTTTTCAATATATATTTCGACAATTGTTTTTTTGACATGTTAACAAAATAATTCAGATATTACTTGATAAGCTAATTTGATTCCCTTCAATCAAGTTAGTCAAAGTTTGATCGAAATTCAAGAATTAATATGCTCTATGATGTCATATTTTTTTATTTTCTTAATACAAATACTTTTATTATGTAATTTGTATAAATCGTATGATGCAACTTTATTTCAAATAAATCGACTCACAGTTACGAGATAAAGACGTAATTTTTCAGAACGATGGTACACCGATAAGCACGAATGGATAACAGTAGATGGCAAAATCGGCACAGTCGGTATATCGGATTACGCGCAGGATGCTCTCGGAGATGTGGTGTATGCCCAGCTCCCCGATGTAGGATCGACAATCAAGAAACATGGTAACTGAAATGGTCTTACCTATCGCGATCATGTTTCAGAAATTGAAAGATTATCTCTAAAAACATATACTAGAATGTCTCATCGAAAAAAAATAACTATCCATTATTCTATGACTTTAGAATGTATAATATACTTTTTTCTTATTTAAAAAAATGTATTTTAAGACGAGACTCTAAAGTTGGAAACACAATAGACGCAGGCAACAGGGAATAACGGTATGTCCAATCAGAGCTCTGAGATATAAGTTCGATATTATATCCCCTAGGACTCTGATTGGACGGTTCGTTATTCCTTGTTGCCTGTGCCTATTACCTGTGTCTATTGTGTTTCCAGCTTAAGATGTACAATCGAGAAAAGAAAATCAAACAGTAGAAGTCAAAGCTGTTGATAGGATACAAACTTAATTATTAGTTTAAGCTTTGACATATCTAATTTTCCTTTCCTTGCTTTAGTTGTAGAAATTTTTTACATCTTGTACACATTATCTTAAAATTTAAACTAGAAATATGTTCGAAATGTTTTTTATACATATTATGCAATTATGATTTTTTTAAGAGGAATGTGGAGCCCTAGAATCAGTGAAGGCAGCTTCAGAATTGACAAGTCCTGTCAGTGGGAGAGTTACATCAAAAAATGAAGCAGTTGAAAGTAAACCCGGATTAATTAATAAATCTTGTTACAAAGACGGTTGGTTATTCCAAGTAGAGTTAAGCGATTTAGATGAGCTCAAGAGTTTAATGAATGAAGAGGCTTATAATGTGTTTTTGAAATCCGACGCGCATTAAATCTGTATGCCAAAAAATTTTCTTTAACGTAGAATTTGAATCAAATTGTCAATTATAACTTCAAGAACTGTATTTTCTGCTTTTAAAGATTTGATATTTTAATGACTTGTTAAAATAAATATAAAAAACATCCTACTTGTTCTTATATATTTGTCACGCACGATTTAATTAAAACTTGGATAGAAATTATTGCGTGTACAATTTGATATAAATTATAAAATGATATAGTATAGCGATATACTTTTGCTTTACTATTTATATCTCAACAATAATTCATGTGAAATTTAAAATATGCTGCATATTCATTACAAATATATATATATATATATATATATCATTATGCTTTGTATGAAAAATAATGTGAATTTGCATCTGGTCAAATTAAGAACAATCACAACTGTAGTTACACATCCATCACTTCATTCAGTAGTTTTATAAGTAATAGAAATGTTAATATGAAAAAGTTAGTGCATTAAGCAAGTAAGCTTTTAATGTTTTTTTTTTTTTCAATACATCATATAATATTATTTTAATCCATGTCAAAGTGATGTCAAAATTATTTATTATAAAAATCAAAACAAGTTATATGTTAACACATTTAACAATTGTACAAAAAATAATTCAATAGAGAGATGCGTAAAGATGTTGTGTTTTAACACAAGTCAAAAATTGATTGCGATAATTGTAATATTTTTATTAGTCACTGTGCAACGTTCTTAATTTTGTATTTATACAAAGCAAACAAATATTTTAATATATATACACACACACACACACACACACACACATAGGTATATGTATATGTGTGTACATATATGTTATTTAATAATACATGAATAAAATTCGAGTTACAAATTATGATACTATTTTTTTCCCGAACACATAAAACTTTTGAAATTTTGTAATAATTGTAGATCCTAATAAGAGAACACAAATAATCGCAAGAGATATTTTTGAATTTTTCAAAATATAGTATACTGATTGATCTTACATTATTTATGACTCTCCTTCGAATATTCCGTAACTTGGTACCGATCCTAAAATTCCAAAATGAGGGAAGTAATGTCACTACGGGTTTCAATCAATATAATATATAAAAAATAGTACTGTTAGCTCTCTAGGAAGGAACAATTATCTGTTAATAATAAAGATATATTTACAGTCAATTAATGTTTCTACATAATTTACAATTGCCAACTGCTAATGGCAGTGTTAACAACGCATAATAGTTTTTCTTTTTAAACTTTATTCCAACAATTTATTGGATCAAAGAATCATGTAGATATTAAATTAGATCATTTGCCAATCATAATTGGTAACTGTACATATTTATATATAACATAAGAAATGTACACAACGTTGTAATTGTCGTATTCACTAATTACATTGGTTAATAAACGTGTTGTAACAGATCGAGTCGTTAATCGGGATTGATGTATATACAGAATGAAGCATTTAGAGCGTGATGTATTAATATTTTATACCAATTTTAGAAGAAAACGTTTAAAGAAGAAAAGTTGTGGGATTCCGAAGAGAACATATATAACGTCTGCAATACATAATTTCACTTCCGCGGACAATGGTCATATTTTTCCCATTAATATAATTCTTTTGAACATTTGACAGTAAGTTTTAGGCGCACCCCTGTTGAATTTTCAAACTTTTGTATTAATAGAAACGTGCTCGCAAATGCTTCTCTATTTTGTTATTTTATGTGTACGTGTATTTTCCATAAACTTACACGTTTAAGTTACTACAAAGTTATACAGCTTTTGGACTAGCGCAAAACTTACATTAATGTTAAAAGGAGTATGAATTTTTGTCTTAATCTCAATCTTAATCTAAATTCATTACGAAAGATAATGATATCTCATTAAGAAGCAAAAAAGAAATCTTGATTATTTACAGAGAAATGGCACTCTGATAAAATTATTATCGCCGTTATTATATATATATTTTTTTAAATCCTGCAATATTTACAGAAAACGTTTTTTTCTAAAATTAAAATTTAAAGGAGATTAATATGTCACGCTTTATATGCCTTATTCTATATACAAAATATATACAGAGATAATTGATTTAGAGCTATCCTTTTTTCCTTTTTTAGAGGAGCTTTTTTTCTCTTTAACATATATTTGCGATTAATACGACTTGTTCCGAAATTATCAGACCGACACGTTCAGCAGGAGGTCTCTGACAGAAAAGAAGACGATACAATAAATAAACGGTAGCGTGAACTTGTCTTACCCAAACAGCAATGCATGATTTAAAGCGATATTTTTCAATTGCGAAACAGCAGTAACTAATACATGGTAAATGACAGAATTATGAACTAATTTGCAGAAAATACAATAGTAATAATTAACTAAGACCTAATAACGTGCGCGCACGCGCGCGCGCGTGTGTGGACATACAATAGGTACGATAGTTTTAATAAGTTGTATTACATCGTAACTTCTTAACGTGTAATTATACACACTACACGAATTAAAATATTTGTTTATGCATGTTACATTCATTCATTCCATTCAAATTGCTATCTGGGCGTCTATATTCTGAGGTATGTGGTTACTAAAAATGTAAAAATATAAAAACTTAATACAGATATGAAGAGGTAGTCATTCGTGTCGTGAGTTAAATAAAAATAATCTTTTTCTTTCTTTTCAAAGAAGCATTATTAAAATTGAGAATAATGATAAGTCTAGGCTGTTTTCAATTTCGTGTTTAACATGGAAAATCGGACGATTTGAAAATTTGGGAACATTAGCATATTTTATATCGACGTATAAGGTCAAATCTGACAGGTGGACACAAATCTTTGCTCACGCAATAAGTACATACGTTATTCTCAAGAAAATATTGATAATAATGATCGTTACTGTGTTCCTCTTGATTTGATTTAACACTCGAGTCTTAATCTAACATGAGACATCAAGTTTCGTGCTTACCAACAAGCACTTTTACATCTAGTTAATTGTATTGAAAGATCGGTGGAAAAAGTGAAAGTAGTAAAATAGCCTTTTTTTTGCAGCAGGTACGTGTTCGATACATGAATAAAAACAAGAGGAATCGTAACAGATAATATTACCAATTTACCAATGCAAGGAAAGATTTCTGTCTCTGTTGTCACGTTTAACTTTGCATCTGACACAATATGTAATTTCCAATGGCTTCAAATACCACAGGCGTCAAAAAGACAGCCTTCACAGCACTGAAGAATTTCTTTGACTATTGGCTAAACAATAATAATAGTAATAATTAATAAAATTAATAATAATCTATTAGTGAAAAATTACTACTTTCGATCACTATATCTTAACACTTACTAAATATTCTTTTCTATTTAACAACTGCAATACGTTTAATATTATCTTATGCATTTAGAATTAATCGCTAGACAATATAGGACCACATAAACCTTGCTCCAATGATTCTTTTATTTCTTAAACAGAATCTTTATTATGATACAACATACAATAGTAAAATATCGCAATTTGTAGTTATTCCTTTCCGCCACCTATTTGAGAAGTAATAAAGAAAAATACATGAATAAGATCCTAAAATTAGTGAAGACATTAAGTAGCTAATGATTTCCTCAAGTAAGCAACAGAAATATATTTATTCATTTCATTATTCAACTATACACAAAATATTGTAATTACATATTTAACATGATCTGTACTTTACAACATAATTGGAATGTTAACTAGTATTTACAATATAGTAGCCCCGCTGAGTGCAAGTGTGACAAAAATGCATATTTTTTCTTCATAGGAAATTCTAAGGATGCCCAGGTGGCCGTGCGTCAAACATATATGTATATCACATGCAAGTTCATTGTCATTCAAGTATGCCCATTGAATCCCTTGCAGAAGCACGATTGATCTGGAGAGAGAATTTGATTCTCTTTTAGCAGTACGATATATTTCATTCGAGTGAGAGCAAGGCTTCAGTGTGGTATGCTTAAAAATAAATTCGCCTCTAAGTATTAGAAAAATAGCTTTACTTATTTAGACAAAAGTTGCCTGCCCTTCGACCAATATTTTTTTGTTAACCACCCTTTGTACTGTTTTCAAGGCATCTTGCTTACTGTTTCCCTGCGCTTATACCCATTAATTAGGGGTAATTCTCCCCACGGATACATCTCTAAAACTTCAACATCAAATATAGAAAATATATGTCCTTGTGTTTATATATTTAGATACATTTTATAATACATATATTCTATGTGTGTGTGTATGTGTGTGTATGTACGTGTGTGTAAAATAATGTACGTCTATACTTGATTTGTATGCACAGGTATTTCATGAACCAGGGCCCCTTTACTTGGTCCGATACCTTAGCAGCATTTAGCTCTTAATAGGTACTTTGAGGTCCACTCTGTCTCACGATTAGGGGCATTAACAGGACTTTTGAGATATACATACACGTGTGTATATATATATATATATATATTTATATATTATACATGTATATAATAACAGGCTTTTTTTCTTATTCGATGGCAAAGATTATCAAGTAAAACTGATCGTTTCATTTTCTCTTGGCGTGAAGCATCTCCATGAGAAGCGTTTGCGTTGGTGCGCCTCCATTACAATGTTTCTGATAAAGATGCTCTTCTCCCTTGGTTGCCACTTCGTGAATGTCCGGTAATACTGCTAACAGCTTATTAAATTTATCCTAAACAGATTGAAAGTCAGGACAATTAAATATCTGGTTAACTCGTTTTAGATTAAAGTATATGAGAAAGCGTTTAACGATAAAACGCACCAGTACAGATGGGTGATGGCTTAGCGTGTATTCCATAAGCGCTTGTTGAACCTGCTCATGACCTTCTTGCACATGTTTTTTATTTACTAGTCCACGAACATCTGCAGTAAATAAAATATATATATTTAATATTTACACTTACGTAAAACATGTGTAAAGTTTGGTTTAAGTATTACAAGATATTGGAATGAGGTGATTATTTGAAAGTGGAACAAAAGATTAAAAAAGCAAGTTATATTGCGTCGTGTGATAAATTTCACTTTTTGTATCGTTTATGCAATACTATTCTTGCGGTACATTTTTAAAAAGTTACATAAAACATAATATACGATCAAATGGATCTTACCAACTTAATTGTCTCTCAAAATTCAACATTTACGAGACGAATATAGGTGGGTCTAATTTTACTTACCATGATTCAGCAGCATTAGGAATTTCATGCATATATATTCGGGGACATCGAATTTTAATTCTTGAAGTGTCTTGGATAGTTCCCTGAAGGTTTCGGCCAAGGAAGGAACTCCGAGTAGGCCGAGACAGAGAAGATCAAACTTTTGGCCATTGTGAAGTGTCGTCTCGTCAGGTAAGTTATTGTGTAACCTGTGATGAAGGTGATCTAGCACCAACATATCCGACCAAGAGTGTTGTAGCAACTTCATTTGATCGTCAACCTAGCAAATAATTGCCGTGCAAATGTTAGATATAATGAATAAATGCACAAAAAATATAGATATAATTATATATTCCATTTAGTACTTTAATCCCATTTTATATAAAAATCATACACGACATGATGATAAAATATTTTCAGAGAGAATCAAATATGAAACACATGCAATAAAGGAAAGATTTATAAAAAGAGAAAAGGGAATTTATAAATTAAATTAAAATAATTTTAATCGGAATTTATACATAAATATCAATTATAAACAAATATCAATTATATAATATATATATTCGTTTTATTAAATCGAGAAAATATTTTTTATAACAAAAAATATTTAAAAAATGCAGTTGGTATATGTGACAATTTATATTTATATTATAAAACTAGAAAAAAGCGTTTAAAGAATCTTTAGAGAAGAGCAACATGATTTTAACAAGATTACATTGAAGATCAGACGGTAATGTACCATATTGTCGACGAAAAGTTTCAACAAAATGGCCTCGATCTGCTTTGCATTGTCGTTAACAAATCCACCGCGTTGAAGCAAAAATAAAAAGTTATTACAAAACGACCGGTTAAAGTATGCAATTTATAATTAACGCGGTCCTGCTTTGGGGCAACCGCCATAACCCAGAAACGTATCTTGTTATGACCTAGATATGAGGCGATGCTTGAAATCATTCAGTGATTGTGCAATGCTGCTGGTTACCTCACATCCCCGCTCATGGCACCGAGCAGGCCAGGCAACGAGTTATTTATCGGTAAGAACGAACTTTTCTCGTCGAGGAGATTCTCGACAAAATTGTTGCGGTTACTTTTAACATGCGCATACGTTTTGTTATACGTTGATGCCTCTCGTTCAGTTTTATTATAAATTAAAATATTGGAAAAAAAAACAACAATCTCGAATTCGCGATAACGAAAAAAAAAAATCGAAAGGTAAAAAAAGGGAAGCTGCGCTCGATGCGTCGTTCTACAAAAGACCAGATATTCACGAGATACTCACCTTGAGATCTTTGAAGAACGTCGAATTTCTAGCCCAGTCTACCTGCGAAAACAAATTCTGATCGAGCACTTTGCACATTAATTCAAACAAGTCCACTTCACACTGATTATACGTTTGGTTTTGCAACAGTCCGAAGAGAGACGTCTGCCACTCGCGGTCGTCGATCGACGACAGAAACTCCCTTATCATTGGACTAAGTGTCTTAAGAGCGACAACGGGGTTGGACGCGTAGCTCGGCACCCCACCGCCGTGTGGCTGCACAGATTGCTCGCCGAAGTTAAAGACCTTCGTGCCGGGGGTAGTTGAGTTGGCGGCCCAGAGTCTGCTGTCCAGACCCGGGTTGAGATTGTGCAAGTGATTGCCGCCGCCCCCGCCCCCGCCTCCACCACCACCACCACCGCCGCCGCCGCCGCCGCCGCCGCCGCCGCCACCGCCACCAGCACCGCTGGTACCGATGTGGGGTTGGCTGGATGGCGCGATCAGCTGGTGCTGACCGGCCCCGCTGCCACTGCCGCTGGCTTGCGTCGTGACCAGACCCGCGGCCACGGTCGCGGGGGACGGGCTCGAGTCCGGTGACGAGGTCAGACTCGAGACCTGAGGTATTTGGATCTCCTGCTTG